GAGTGCGCAGAGGAAGATCAGCGAGACTGTCACACCGGAAGTGCCGATCAGGAGGAAAGTTCTTCGACCGTAGCGATCTATGTATAGCGCCGTCCAGATGTTTCCGACGATTGTGAAGGTAGTCCAGCAGGCGTTCAAGAGGAGGGGAGTGAAGCCCGTGAGACCGAGGGAGGCGTATATCAGAACGCCGTAGTTGGTCATCACGAAAATGCCTGAGATTATCAGTCACAAAACTCGTAAGTGAGAGGTGCGGGAACATACCTAGAAACTGGTCTCCCCACATCATGATCGCGGCCACCAAAGCCCGACGGCGGTTGGGCGCAGTCCTGAAGATCTCGAACCGCCGCACAGCATACTGCGCATCAAGCTCATACTGTTTCTCCATCAGATAGAACTCCTGTCTAGCAGCCACATCTTCTTTATCATCAGCCGTACGATGCAATCGCTTGACGATTTCCAGCGCCTCCTCCCGCCGTCCTTTACCCAGGAGCCAGCGTGGCGAGAATGGAATGTAGCCACTGCCTGCCAGCACGATAAGAGGCGGCAGACATTGCATGGCGAGTGGGAAGCGCCATGCTGCTTGCGCGTGTGGTGAGTCGGCGGCGATGAAGTAGCACCCGAAACCGAGCCAGCCTGCGAGGGAGTAGCCGAAAGCGTAGGCGATGCCAGTGACGCACATCATGGCGCCGCGGGTTTCGGCTGTGGAGATCTCGCCTTGGTACATGGGTACAACGACTGCATAATCTATCAGTGGTGTGCGTGACAAGTCCTGAGAGGCAATGTACTGACCGGCAAGAATGCCTGCCCCGATCCCAGCGATCACTCTGCCCACGAGGAACATCGCCATATCGACAGCACCCGAACACAGCGCACCGCCAACGATCAAGATGATACAGCCCAGCTGGATCGTGCGCTTGCGTCCGTAAGCATCAGCGCTCCAGGCGCTGGTCAGACACCCAAGTATGGCGCCTGCACTGTTGACGCCGTTAAGGGCGCCAATGATGTTTGTCGTGTATGCATAGCCTGGCTCATCCGCTGTAGCGAGGTCGAAGTAAGTGTAGACTAGCCGGTGTAAGTACCTGGACCCGATGAGGTACGCTTGCTACTCACAGTTCGGTTGCCCGACGGTGGACCCGATCACTGCAAGGCCGTAGGCTGTTGCAAGAGTGCCCAGAGCGACATAAACCACGACCCAGAGGTTGTAGAGATTGACAATGTGTTTGCCGCCAAGGCCGATCATGTTGGTGACTATAAGCTCAAGACTTGGTCCGCTTGTTACGAGATTTCAGAGGGACTTGAAGGGTGGAAGAAGCTGGTCTACATTGACCATTACAATGCAAGAGAGGCCTTGCACCTACCTTTATACTTTGCAACGTATTTATCATGGCACTGCACATTGGCTTCATGTCTCCAGAGTACCTTGCAGCAGAGCAACGCGATAGCCGGCGGCACTCATATCACCCCGCACGTATTGCCGGTGCTGACTGCGCGAAGCATCATGAGCATGTATGGGAATAAGAACTCCACTCCATATTGCGAGTCAGCCTGGTGCTGGGATATGAGCACTGCTTCGTAATCACTGCTATTAAGGAAGGTATGCCACGGTAATGTTACCCGAGGTCGTCTAACGCTGCGACAGTCATTTGGTGCAGGCGGTGCTGCTGGACGACCTGAGGAGCTTGCGTGCCATGCGAGTTATCGTCGCTCGTACGAAAAGCTGTACATTGCAACGGAAATCGGCGTGAACAGGCTCTCGCATTTGCACAGTTGTTGCTCCATTCGAAGGATACTCGCCGAGATGTGTCGAGGACGAGTGATGCGGAATCGCCGTCACTAACGCGCCCGCGAAAGTCGCTTGGCCTTGGAATGAGTTGTGCTGCTGACCACGGAGTGACTAGAGTCGTGACAGTCCCAGGGCTTCAGAACAAAGGGAAGCAGTCCGTGATCGTGCTTGAATCTCTCGACCTTGAGCGTCCGGGCCTGCCGATCGAGAGCGTTCATGAGATGCTTCTTATCCGTGTTAGATGCAGTCAGGGCAACTCATCTAGCGGACGTGGCAAGGGACTCCCTGAGAGGAGGATCGAAATCATGAGATTCGTGTAGTATGGCAGGTGATAGTCGAGAACACAAGATACGAAGGCACTCAGCCAATGGGACGCCTTGGCAGATCCAGAAAGGCTAAATTTAGCACCAATCGAAGCCATGGATCGATGGCCAAACGAGCCACTGACATCGATCCTGAGCAGTGAAGATGAACGACACGAAGTCAGATCACGTTCAAGCAAGCGGAAGACCAAACAGCACCGCCTGAGAAGGTGTGCTTAATCATACCATCGCAAACGCGGAAGCCAGCGCTCTGGTGTATAATAGATTGCATAAAGTTTAAGCGAAGCGCTGCGAATCCTCCACCTCCTCTCGAGCTGACAGCGTTCGCGCCGGCGCATGCTGGCTATTGCGCCTGACGGCCTGATTACTGTACGAGTACGAGTCTGGCAACATTCTTTCCTTTTGTGCAGCGTCATCTTCCTGTACTCTTGTCCTTTTCGAGTCTTGATCGCTGATCTTACGCCATACACGTTGCTGTTCCGTCTCACCTAGTAGGGTCTCTGGAGGACTTCAGCTGACAGTGCGCGGGCGCGCTGCGTGACGGCAATGGTGGTCTCACGAGATCTGTTATGGACATTGGCGTTGGTGCACTCGACAGTTGCAGTCTCGGTACCAGAGGTGTGGGCAAAGAATGTGAGGAGGCTAAGCAGACGAGCGGACTCGAGCAACGTCACAGTACCAGCTGCGATCAGCATTGCGCCGAGTCAATATTGGGACGGGAATGGTAAGAGCACACAGAGCGGCAGATGGCAGGAGCGATGACTGATTTGCATTCAGACGGGCCATGGTCGTCCTTTCCCTTACAACTCGGCGGCGGCACGGTCCAAACACAGAATGTCCGAGTAATGCCCTCAACCGCAGGCTATAACACGTGGGTTATCAATGGCACGGGAGGATGTCCAGCGTACTACGTCCCGGACTGCAACAACATCAGAGGCTTCACATATGACTGGAGCAAGAGTGTGACATATCAACCGCTCACACCATATGGGACTGAGATCGAGTCGAATCTGGGTCTAGACACGACCGGCGATGCTGGGTATGAGGACATCACGCTCGGATGGCAAGGTTCGGGAGGACCGAAGGTTGATCATTCAGTCCTATTCGCGATCGCAGACTCGAACTACTGGATTGGCATCTTCGGGCTCAACCCATTGCCGACCAACTTCAGCACCCTGAACAGCCCGCAGCCTTCGTTCATGGAGTTGCTGTACAACAGCAGTGGCATCCCCAGCCGCTCTTACGGCTACACAGCCGGCAATCAATACCGCTTCAACAAAGTCTACGGCTCCCTAACGCTAGGCGGCTACGACACATCCCGTTTCAAACCCACTGACACAACCTTCAAGTTCGGCGGCGACATATCGCGAGACTTACTGGTAGACATCAGCGCCATCTCTACAGGTGACGCGCGAGGCAACAAAAACCTCCTGCCTGACGGGCAGATCTCAGCTTACCTGGACTCCACAGTGGCCGAGATCTGGCTCCCTGAAACTGCCTGCAGCGCCTTCGAAAACGCTTTCGGGCTGGAGTACAACAGCACCGTGAACCGCTATCTTGTCAGTGGCGATAAGCACCAAACCCTAACGACCAATGGCGCGTACGTGAACTTCACACTCACCAACGGCAGCTCGACAGTCGATATAGGTCTACCATACGGCGCCTTTGACTTGAACGTCTCCTTCCCGATCGTAGACAATGGCACAACATCTTACTACTTCCCCCTGCAGCGTGCAGCAAACGAATCGCAGTACACTCTCGGCCGCGCCTTCTTCCAGGAAGCGTATATCATAGCCGATTATGACCGCGGGAACTTCACAGTGGCACCCTGCAAGTGGGATCAAACCGCGCTGCAAAACACGAACATCCACTCCATCCTCTCTCCCGACTGGACTTCAAAAGCTAAAGCAGCAGCTGGCTCATCTTCCTCGTCTTTCGGCGCAGGCGCAATAGCAGGCGTGGTCGTCGGCATCATCGCTCTGATAGCCCTCATAGCATTCCTAGTATGGTTCCTCCGCCGGCGCAGAACAAAGACCCGCGCTGCCAAAGCCGCGGAGCTGGAAGCCAAGAATCCCTCACCACCCTCTCCAGACTCCAACAATAATGAAGGACGACCCTTCATCTCGGCTCCCATCGGCGGCGAGCTAGGTGGAGGCGAGATTCACGAGCTCACTGCGCCGCATAAACCTTACGCCCAGGAGCTTGACTCACCTCACAAGATCGATCCCAATAAGGCAGGGTACTCGGAGATGGATGGAGGAAGAGGGGAGGCAGGGTACTTTGGGAGCGATGGGAAGTATGCTGTTGCTCACGAGATGGAGGGGCGGAGTGCGATTTACGAGATGCCGGGGAGTGATGTGCAGGAGTTGGGGACGGGGAGGGAGGAGAGAGTTGGGCAGTCAAATCGGATGAGTTGGGAGCCAGATGTGAAGAGGTAGTCGTACCTTTGGGTTGAACCAACAGTGGGGGCTTTTGGCAGGCTAGGAGGCGCAATATATGAAAGTTGAGTACGCTGCAGGCATCGACTCACCTCCCATCATGCCAAAAGCCTTACAAGCCATTGTCTCCACCTTCGATGCAGCTTCTTCCCTTCCAAGTGACCACATTCGGTAATGTAAAGTCGCAAGTCCTTGTCCTTCCTCGTCTCGATCTTCCACTTGCTTCGGCAGGACCGCTTGCACAGAGTAGAAGCTGATCATTGCTTTCAAGCGTTGTGCAGGGGGTGTTGTCACTTCGCAAGCCCGGAGCCCGCTGTTACCGCAACATCTCTGACCCCGCACAACGTTCAAAGTTCAGCCAAAAGCCTGCAAGGCGACTTCGAGTCCGCACAACTTACCAAAATGAAAGCGGTGCTCACCATGGCCCAAACCCACGCCGACGAGTCTAAAAAGTCGTGCTTTCTAACGGAGTTGAACCGTTGACCTCGGCATGGCTGTACTAGTGCCGCGCTCTACCAACTGAGCTAAGAAAGCGGCAATGATGTCGGCTTCTGGCTCAAGACTTATGATCCTGATTAATATAGGAAAGAGCGACCCACCGCTCCTTCCACATGCACAGAACCACTGAAACAGACCATCATGCATAGTCAGATTAATGGAGTGTCGAGAGAGCCTGCCTGAAGCGGATGAGTATGCTGTTGTCCTCCTTTGGTTGGATGCCAAGTGACCAGAAGACTTTCCCAATAATCCGGCCCAGCATTTCGACACCAGGGACAGATATACAGTGCCATGCCGCCGCGCAGTCTCCATTTACGCCAAAAGCCTATGATCCGGCTGCAATATAGTGTCGAGTCCATTCTCAAGTCCGCGGTCGAGTCCATGATCGAATCCACGATCGCGTCCGTGAAATAACATGCGGTCCTGGATCCCAGCTACGGGCCACTTCCGTCATATTCAGATCGACAGACAGTCCAGGTTGGAGCGGGGTTGCGTTGCATACGTAGAGTATCAAGCCGTAGCGAACATCGTACTCGCCCACTTAGTCCACTCTGAGCCGTCAGCAAAGAGCTCCGCGAAGTCCAGATCTCCGGCTTGAGGCCAATCACCCCAGTCTCCGAAGCCCTCGCCCTCTGCTTGCAAGAAGTCCTCAACGCCTGCGAACTCCCTCTCCCTATCCTCTGACGCTTCCTCGGTGCTAAGTCCACTGTCTCTCTCCTCTCTCATGATCTTC